TTCTCCCCCTCCCTCCTGTCCCTCCTCCATCCCTTGAGAAGGCATTATAAATGTGAAGGATTATATATGAAGTCATGCAAAACATATTTCCATATTAGCCATGTTGCAGAAGAAAATACACAAAACAAGAAAAATTAAAAAAGTAAAAAAAAGTATGCTTCAATCAAGACTCAGAGTTCATCATTAATATTCTCTTAAGTCTGCACAATCAACAAAACGATGAATCAAGCCATGCTTTGCAGCATTGCTGATTTCCTAGGTGTGAAAACTCACACAGAAAGTTTAACGGTGGGCTCTAGGGAGATAGAGACTAAAATTCATTTGGCCAAGGGATGCTTTGAGCCTTCAGCCTTCTCCCTATCTAGAGGCTAGAAAAGAGGCATCAAGAAAGCATTTGAAACTAACCAGGAAGACTCAGGAGCTGTCCCTGGGCTCCTTTTCCAGCAGATGGAGGCTCTAAAGGGCCATCAGCTCAGGCCAAGAGTGAGCCCAGGCCCTGCTCACTAGGGCTCTTAGCTGGCTCAGGCACACCCCTACCTCATCCCATCCCCATTCCCTTATTTACACACACCCCAAGACCGAACAAGGTCCAGATAAACCCAGAGCCTCAGGTTCTGGGTCACTGGTTACATATGGATAAAGAACCTATGGTCTAGGGAATGAAAATGACTTACCATAGGTCACACAGCTAATTAATGGCAGAGCAAGGACTCCAGCACTTGTCCTGTGATGCCTACTTGGGTGCTCTCTCTATTATGCTCCTTATTACTTCCTCTTTCTGTGCTTCAGTTTCCACATCTGATATCACACAGGGATGGTCACCCCTGCCCCGATGTTCTCCTAGGGCTGCTGTGAGAAGCAAATGGGATGATTGAGGACTGGAAATAGGACAAACCTGTATAAAGTACCTGTATAAAGCACTGGGAAAGTGCTTCGCGGAAACTTCAGACATGGAGCAAAGGGATGAACACCCCCACCCACATCATCCTCCTTATTCCAAACATATTCTTTTTTTAATGATTTAATATTTTATTTCCCCCTAATTACATGCAAATCTTTAACATTCTTTTTTTTTAATTCTGGGTTCCAAATTCTCTCCCTCCCTCCCCTCTCCCCCTCATTGAGAAGGCAAGCAATTTGATATAGGTTATATATGTTCAGTCATACAAAATATATTTCCACACTAGTCATGTTGGTTCCTCTATATTCTTTCCATTAGGGATTGACTAGTTTGATTGTGGGAGAAGATGGAGACTAAGATTCATTTGGCCAAGGAGCTGTCCCTGGGCTCCCCTTCCAGCAGATGGAGGATCCCAGAGGGCCATCAACCCAGACCAAAAGTGAGCCCAGGCCCTGCTCACTAGGGCTTCTTTATATTTCCACTAATTCCTCTTTCAAATTAAAGTGAATCCCTTGTGTGTATTTCTTCTTGGTTTTTATTTGTTAGACAATTGATGTGTTTATGGTCTCTTTGATGAATCATTCCCTAGCTCTGGGAATTCTATTTCCTTTCCATCCAGTTGTTAGGCAGACTGAGAGTTTTCCCACCACCTAGGGATCATTGCCCCTCCATGGGTGAAAAACTCTTCTCCTCCCCTCCTCACCCCCACAACCTCCCAGAAGACATAGACCATCCCACTTCCCATCTGCCTAGACTTCCTACCTTTTTTTCCTCTATCCCCGTCTAACAGATGGATGTTTGCCTGCGGATCCAGCCACCCCCAGTGGGTCCTCATTAAATCTTAAAAGGAAAAGATGCTACTAAACAATAATGAGCAGCTCACTTTTCTGTAACCCTTTACAATTTTACTTTTGAGTTTTTCAGGATAGGAATTATGATTATTTTACTCGGGTGGGGGGGGTGGGGGGAAGTGTAAGAGTTTAAAGAAATTGAGCCCAGGGAGATTAAGTGACTTGCCCTAATTTATATGAGTAGTAAGTGACCAAGCTAGGACTTGATATTAGTTCTCAATGTTAAGTCCAGGGATTTTTCTACTCTATCACTTGTCTCCTATCACCTCTGTTTTTGTGCCTTTTCATCATCTCTTGGTTGTCTTGAAAGAAGTGGGGATGAGAGTTCTTGGGAGTCTTAGTGATCCCAGGAAGCAAAAATTGGGTCTTCCAGGAATAGACAAAGGCCAGTACAAGTCCAGGAGTCAGAAAACCTGGGTCATGGAATCATAGATGGAGAGATGGAAAGGACCTTAGAGGTCATGCAGTCTAATCCCCTCATGTGCAAATAAGGAAACTAAGGCCAAGAGTGATCAAGAGACTTGCCCAAGGTTACACAGCAAGTAAATGGTAGAGCTGGGACTAAAACCTAGGTCCTCTGACTCCAGATCTAGCACTTTCCCTCCTGCATGGTGCTTCCCCTTAATCTCTCGTCATAAATTAACTGTATAACAAATAGAGGTGGGGGTCGTAGAGAGGAAGATTTTCGTTCCCAACCATTAGGGAGATCCAATAATGGAATGGATTGCTTCATGAGGCAGTGAGCTCCCAATCACAAGAAGCATACCGGAAGTTGGACCTTGGACAATGTCCTTAAAATGTTGTGCTCAGAATGGAATTGTTGTTCAGCCATTTCAGTCATCTCTGACTCTTTGTGATCCCATTTGAGGTTTTCTTGGCAAAGAGACTGGAGTGTTTGCCATTTCCTTCTCCAGCTCATTTTAAAAATGAGGAAACTGAGGCAAACAGAGTTAAGTGACTTGCCCCAGGGTCACCAGATTTGAACTCATGAAGATAACTCTTCCCGACTCCAAGTCCAGCGCTCAATCCACTGTCGCACCTAGCTGCCCCAGAAGGAATGCAATACCTCAAATGTGGTCTGACCAAGTTGGGCAGAGGACAGTGAGTCTGTCATTGCCCTCACTCTGGACATTATTCTTCAGTTTCTATACCCTGGGGTCCCAACAATATTTTTAGCAGCACTTTGGTAGCTTCCCGAAGGAAGTGTGTTACAACTGAACATGGCATTAGAGGACATGATTCTACCTACGTGACCTGGAACAAATCATTTAACCTATGTGGGACTCAGTTTCCTCATTTGTAAAATGAGAGTATTAGACAAGATGGTTTTTAAAGTCTCTTCCAGTCCTAAACCTACAATCCTAATTTTTGGGTTCTATCTGGTGACCAGTCCCCTGGGCTATCAGGAAGTGAGGTTGGAGTGTGGATGGAGGGCAAGGCTGGCCAGTCTCCCTTATTTGGAGATTCAGTTTTCTGGTGATCACAATAAGGATTACATTGTCTTCTTGTGTGTGGTTTTTTTTTTTTTGAGAAAGAGACAAATGTCAGGAAGAGTGAGCCATTCTGACAATCAGAGACTGAACTTCCTCTTTCCTGGAAGGTGGAGTCCTTGGGATTCCCTTCTCCCCTAATCCAAGGCATAAACTGAAAGTACAAGTGGGATTTAGAAAGGCAGAGATAACTGGTTAAAATCTGACCCTTATGTGGGTCTATGATGGAATAGCTCCAAAGCAGCTAGTATTCTGGCAACTAACAAATGTTATTTTAACACTTAACGTTCCATCTAGCACTGACATTCTGCATTCTGTACTCCAGGGCCTCTCCTAGCTCTGACATGCTACGTTCTGAGGCCCCTCTCAGCCCTGCAATCCTGTGATTGTGACTTGTGGGTAGCCACATTCTCTTTCAGGCTGCTTCCTAATGAAATGACTCCTTTTTCTTCACAAGGTAACTGTTGTCCATCCTGTGGGCAGAGCAGGGTAATGAGCCCAGCATCATTCATCTTCATCTTAGTGACTGCCAGAGTCAGGTTCCCAGAAACCCTAATGGAATTACTTATCGATCTGGTCTCCTCCCAGATGCAGGGGACAGTGTGCAAAGGTTGGAGCATCAGGATAAATGGGGGCATGAAATAGCAGTTTGGCCAGATAATCATCTGGAATGATGGAAGGCAGGAGGAAGGTTGGCTAGCATCCTTAAAGTTATTCTGCTTTGGAGGCATAGAATCCCAAATCAGGATGAAGCTTCTAGATTTGTTCTCGGGGCTCCTCCTTCAAATTCTGTCTATCTTCATCCTTTTCTGCCCACTGTCTCCAGATTCCCCACACCAAAGGGACTATCCCACCCATATGGGAGAGGAGGAACAAATGGGAGTATGGTTTGAAATAGTGACTAGGAGTCAGGAGAGACTGGCTTGAGTCTTGATTCTACTCCTTACTAGCCATGGGACCTTGGGCAAGCCACCTCACCTCTAAGCCTCATCTGTCAAATGGGGCTGATGAGACCTGCTTTGCTAACTTTATGGGTCT